TCCTAGACATGAATAACTGACGAATTTCTCCTTTGCTTGTGGTATTATCAGCCACAAAGATAGTTTTTGTCCTCTAATTCTAAGGCAGCCAAATGCGAAACAAGTGAAGGAGTTCGGGTCGTGGCTGCGAGTAGGCAATGAGAGTAGTATTGGAGGTGGTGACAATAAGTGGATTGTGATAGACAATATGGGTTTGGAGGCATCCACTCTTGTGGTTGGATTTTGATATTTTTACAAGCGAGGCTAATGATCCAAAGATGCAGAAGGAAGGTACACTGGTTTCCGAGCAAAAGCGACATCGCCAGGTGGGGAAGAGACTGCAATGGGCGCACATACAATGATAGAGGTTGAAACATAGGTGAAATAAATTTAGACACTATTTTCATCACGGTCATCAGATAACAGAAACATTCACACGCTGACTTTACAAACTAGCAAACGTGAAGCAGATAGTACCGCAATTGTAGAAAGTCCAGAACTTCACATGCCTGCCAAAAATTCATTCACTCCACCTTCCCTCTTCCGGAGTAAAGTTTCTGGAAGTCCCCATTTGGTCTAAAGCTTCTGGAGAGACCACGGTAACAAATTTCTCACCTTCTTCAAATATTTAACTTTTGATTAGGTATTTCGATTCCTCCCATTTATGCGATTCCCCCTCGTGACTGGCCGAATGCAGTCTAGTGGGCAGGTGAGCCAGAGCTGACGCCCTGCCTCCTCTGATGATCTCTATGCATATACCCACACACGCATAAAAATACACACACACATCTTAACCAAATTTGCAGTGAATATGTATGTATATGAGGCGGAGCCCTTTGACCAAATTTGCAGGGAATATATATTGTGTAGCGCTGTAGAATGGCCAAACATTGTAGTCACAACGGCTAAACCAAATTCACAGTATTTGGTCCTGGGGTTGAATATCATTGCTTTTATTTGGAAACCCTATTTTTTGTCTATATGCTTGTGAATAATATAATTATATGGTGGATTAAAATGAGTAAATAATATTCTAAGTATGATAGTGGGTGCGTGATAACAATTTGTATTCTCCTCTGGCTTGAGTTTGAAAATCACAACCAGTCCCCAATTGTGCACTTTCTTTTGTACAATTTGATTTTTTCCTGTTGCTTCTTTGCAGCATCTTTGACTAAAACAAAGGTTCCCTTTATTCACAATATAATATTGTATTTGTTTGTTGAAAATGTTATCTGAATTCCCTTTTTGTCTGATTTTATGGGCATGGCAGGATATGTAAAACTTTTTCATACGTTTCACATACTAGAAACTTGATATGTAACTTAAATGGTTGTGTTGATACGATAAGAATTTGGTGGTTTATGACAGTTTAATTTTATACCCAGTATAGCAATATTTCACAAGAGTTTAATTGTCCAGTTAATTTGATAAGAATTTACTGGTTTATAACTACAATATGCTTGCCTCTTGATTATGGAGATATACACAACAATGGACTCACAAGACTCTGAGACCTTCTCTTCTTCTCAGTACCAATACATTCACACAATATCATCTTAACTATCAAGCCAATCACTTCACTCAACCCCACCAATTCAACCAACTTATAACTCCAACCAAAGCAATAGAATATATCCTTATTGTGTTGATCAATATGGATTTAAAATACCATCCCAAAGTTTATTGAGTTCTCCAATGTTGAGTACTCCGATGGGCAGTGCTCAATTTGAACATTTGTTGTTTAGATGTGAGATAGTTCATCCTATCTGGACTTATTGTGTGGGTATTATGGGGATACCTAGGCTGAATGTAGCCAATTCTATTCGACAGGTGTATATATGGGTTGGTGGCTTAAAGCTGGTACTAAGATGGTGATTGACCTCTTCAAACACACTTTACCTGGAATTATCAGTTGGTTTGTTTGGAAAAGCTACACTAATATCATTTGGGTTAATCAACATACTGGTACATCCTCAAATAATATTATCTTTCAGATTAAGAATTATACTCAAGCTTGGTCATCTAGTTTCTCCAGAGTAAAGGCTCGGTCTGTGGGTGAGGTTCTCTTTGAGGAGAAGTTAATTCCAAAAAAAATCGCTATCACAGGTACTCAAGTTAAAGCTATAAGGTGGAGCAAGCCTCGAAATTGCCTTAAACTAAACACTGACGTCAGTTCTGTACCTGGTAAAGCACGTGGTGGTGCAATTTTGAGGAATCAAGAAGGTGATCTTGTTGCTGCTATTTCATTTCCAGTTGACGCTTCAACGAGCTTAGAGGCGGATATCCTCTTTGTCGTCTATGCTACGCGATGGGCGTTGGAGGCTGGATTCATCGATTTTGAGGTTGAAACAAATGTGGCGATTGTTATCTCCTTGTTGAATCATGTAGGTGACGGGAGATGGAGAGGTTTAATTCAGGAAATGAGGTTATGCAGAATTAGGAAAGGAGTGCGGTTCAAGCATATCTGGCGTGAAAGTAACCGGGCTGCTCATCATTTGGCAGTTTCTTCTTCGGCCCAGACTAATTATTTTAATAGTCCAAAAGATCTCCCTTATAAGGCCCACATGTCTTTTTTAGAGATCTTTTTGGTTTTCCTTCTTTTAGATGCTTTTATTAATTTGTTTTTTCCAGAGGAATGCCTCTTCAGAGAGGTTTTGGCCTAGTCCACATCTTCTTTGTTCTCTTTTCTCTCTTTATAAAATCCGGTAAACGTTCCCCGACGTTTACCCCACTGATTTTGGTGGTTGACCTACGGGGTTAAAAAAAGGGTAGTGCTCAATTTGAGAGTTCAACAAAAGGCCCAAAAAAGGCATTGACACACGGACAATATCTCAAGCTGCAATTTAAAAAAAGTAAGGAGCAAAGAAGAAGATGTAGCATTGACGAAGGCGTGGTTATACATATCAATGGATTCAGACATCGGAAATAATCAGAAAAGTACTGCTATGTGGGTGATAATTGTAGAAGCCTTTAAAAAGAATATGGGAACTAGATGCAATCCTCCTGGAAACAACAAAATCTTGCAATCACTGTCCCTACAATCACCTTGGTCATCACCTCGAACATATCACCTCAGCACGAGATCCCGGTCGGATTACCAAGAAACAAGGACAACACCAGACCCGAGGTGCACTCATGCAACTCGGCCACCGCCACCTCGGCCAACAGAGATCACCTTGCCATAAGTCGGTCAAGGAAAGACAGGCGTCAAGCTTTGTTACGCCCCAGGGCTCTCAACCATAGACTAGCCAACACGTGTAATGCATTTAATGCACCGCCACATTAATTACTAGTATAACCACCACCCTTGGGCGTAGTCGTAAAGGATTCAAATCCTATTTAATACAAGCTTTCTCTCTCTAAACTCTTAGTTGTCTCATTTCTCTTTAATACCACTAGCCGTTTACCGGGAAACTATCATTTGGTGCTTTCATTGAGAGGAAAGAACGATCAAGTTAGTAGCCTCGTCACTATCGAACGCTACTAACACCTCTGAGATGGGAAAAACTCGACCAAGCAAGAACATCACGACCAAGACTTTTCAGGACCCTTGCGTCCAACAAGAGAAGTCTGGAGACACCATGACCTCAAAGGCGACTGAGGAGGCTGAGTTCCTGGACAAGGTCGACCCCACGGCCGACCTCCGCAATCAAATCAATATCAATTCCCCTGACGCTCGGATTGTCATCGAGGGGAAGCACAAGGAAAGGAGTGTGATGAACGCCGCTCAGCAGATCACCCCTCAGATGGACATACAGGCGACACCCTCCGTCATCATCACTAGCCTTCCTCAAAACCCCACAGCTTTGAGTGCGCTCATGCCCATACTCGGGTAGAAAGCAACACCGCCATAAGAGTAAATTTTTAGATTTACCTAAATAGGACTAAAGTTAGATAGAATTGCAAAAACAGGACTACTATGTTTTATTTGATAAAAATAGGACTAAAAAGAGGTAATCTACCCAAAATGCCCTTAATGAAGAGTTCGCAGGGGCCTTTGCTGCGCATATGTGATTCCCCTGCTGCGCAAACGGTGTGCCCTGTGGGATTCCAGGCCTCCAAGATCAGCTCCTCCACCAATGGCGGCTCTGCCATCATCCATCAAGTCTGCCACCACCTTCACCATCTTCACGCCTCAACAATTTTTTTAAAACTTCAGTACTTCTTACTCATACTCTTATCAAGCGCATACTCAATGTGATCAAACTATAGATATGATTATCTTCAATTCCCCCCTGTATATGCAGCAGCATGTACCTTGCTTTAATGCCTTCAAATGAAGTCCTTGTATGTGTTGATTTTATGAGTCTGTGTAGACTTCCATGAGGAATGACACTTCGTATGCGAGAATGCCACTTAATATATGCATAATGACACAATAATGACAATTTCGTATAGATACATGACATTCTCAATATGACATTTTCAAATACTGCAATGACATAAAAGTGACATTTTTTAAAAATGATCAATAATGACACAACAATGACATTCTCTTATTCAAAAAGTGTCATTTTCTGAAAATCTAAAGAAGAAGAAAACAGAGGATCCAGATTTGAAGAGGATGGGAAATTCATATACAAAAGAAGAAGAAGAAAAAGAAGAAGAAGAAGAAGAAGAAGAAGAAGAGGAGGAAGAAGAAGAGGAAGAAGAAGGATACATGTGGTCGACGATGGAGTTGCGGTGCGTGGCCATAGCCGATGGAGGAGCTGCTGTCAAGGGATGTGCGGAGCTGCTGCTACGATGAATTTTTCGTAGATTGCAGAAAGGGGCCATCGATGTGTTGTCGATGTGCGTGGCCAGTGACGAATTGCAGGAGGCGAGAGATGAGTTTTAATAGCAGAAGGGCAAAAGTGTAATGTGGAGTCCCATTTAGGCAATTTAAAACTTGAAGTACTTATTTGGAGTTTTAACCATGTTTTAGTCCCATTTAATATAATTTCTTATTTTTTATCTCAGTTGATCGGGTTTTCTGGCGGATTGACCTTTCGTGTCCTTGTTGACCGGTGACCTAGTCGTTCCTCCTGACCTCCTCTTAGGTAGAAATTAACCCGACATGATATGCAAAAATGCTGCATAAAGTTTGCATCAAAGTAGCTTTCCGGCCATGTCTTAAAATCAAAACTTAATTTGCTTTTCCAGCAACAACGACCAGCACCTTTCTCTACTCCGTTTTTGTTACGGGGTATGAAATTTCCCAGAAAGCCACGAACTGCCCAACTTTAGAAATGCACTCTGCTGCTTTCCAGAATAAATCACTTCCATCCAAGGATACGCTGCGCCATTATGGAGTAGACCCAATTTCAATTCTTAATCAGCAAGGATCTTTTGAATGAAGCAGATGAGTAAAAGGTCTTGGGCCTCATCACTCATCATCGCTTTCTTCGCCCTGCTCTGGACGCGGCGGCAAGCGGCGGCGGTGGGGAATGCATCATCATGGTGTGTGGCAAGGGGCGATGCGGATGTGGGATCGCTTCAGTCAGCGCTGCAATGGGTCTGCGGAATCGATTCCGAATTCTGTAAGGGGATCCAGCAGACGGGGGAGCCGTGCAGCCCCTTCAACAACGCCACAGATCTCGTGGAAAGGGCGTCCTTTGCTTTCCATTATTATTACATTAAGAACGACATGGCCAGCGAGAGCTGTAATTTCGAGAACAACGCCAATGTCACCTCTCAGGAACCCAGTGAGTCTCGTTTGGAACTGTATCTGATCCAATTTGTGATTCATTTTACTTCCCTTCTAATTCAACTCTTCTTCCTTTCCCTTTTCTCTTTCGGCCGGGCTTTTATTTGCAGATTATCCTGGATGCAAATTTCCTAGGTAATTCCCCACACATGCTTTATATAATATGGATTATGGAGTATTGAAATTAATTGAATATGCTGAAATGAAATGATTTTCCCTACTTTGTTGTAGCTAAATACTTGGTAGTTAGTACTGTTTGATATGAAACATTCATGTTAAATTTACTTAAATCCATGAGATTAATTGCATCTTGTGTGCAGCTATAGCGACGGAAATATTATAAACGGGGCACCCGGACCTAATCCGGATGTTAGCTATTCAGACTCAATCAGATATGGCAGATGGGTCGTCTCAATGGCTCTCTTATTCACAACTCTACTCATTCAGTTCTCTGATGGAAGTTGATTCTTTAAAGTTTGATAAATATTACTGACTATATCTTTGTGTGGAGATCGATCGAAATGGTTCATATAAAACGCTTGCTTGATTCACGCAGTCTCTAAACAACCACATCTACATTCTTCCCCTTCAACATAATCCCGCATTCTGCTTTAAGAACACCATTTTTTGTATAGTGATGCTATGCAGTACACAGTATAAGTTGCCTATTAGTTGCTGAACTTCAATTGTTAATATGTACCCCGTTGAGGTGTTCAAGAGGTATGAAAAATGGACATTAATGACTAAGGATATTTTTACTTTGACTGTAATTCCTCCCATACCAGACCGGACTAGACTAGACTTGGAAAATTATAAAAATACAAAGAAATCAGATCAGACCAGACCATCAAATTACAGTCCAAGTAAAAACATCCTAAGTGGTATTGTATATGATAGATCAATTAAGAACTTGGTAACACTCAATTGGCTTAATCTCATCAAATTCATGAAATCATGGCTGAAGTGGTTGACTTGGTTGAATCGGTTCGAGTATGATAAAGTTATAATTAAGATACACTCTAGATTTTATTAATAAAATAAAAAGATAATTATATCAAAATAGTTAAATTGATTATGTACAATAACTTCACCAAATTTAGTCAACAAAGTAACTATAATTTTACTTATTTTGATTACTACCCAACTTAACACGTGAAATCAAAAGTACATATTTAGAAAAAAAATGGATTGCTAGAGTTGATATTAGTTCACCAATTGGCCATAAATGTTTTGTTTCTTGTCACCAACTCATACTGACTATGTAGTAGTGCATAAACATCACAATTTAGATTGATTTTAAGTTGTGTTTACTTAGCTTTTGTGCAATCATGATGTAAAATTTATTTTCTAAAAAAGACTACAATTAAAAAATACTCCGTATTAAGATATTTTGACATGTTAGTGAAAAACATGATGGAAAGTAAGAGGAAATCACTTGGGAGCAATAGGAAACTTCATGGGAGACAAAGAAAGAGAAAAAAATCCGGTTTGATATCACACCCAATTGGGTATATCCAATACTCAGTCAGGTATGATCTGACCCGAAGATCGTAGAAGATCAAACAAAGTAAAAGAACACGGGGATATCATATTTGTTCATATACCCTGATGGTACTTTGCACTGTAATCATAGTCCAAGTTGCGAATCATAAACAAATTAAAGCGCATTACACATGATTGATAAACCAAGCCAATTAATCGGGATTTATTGATTAATACAGTCAAATGGGCCTAACAAGCAGGATCGTGGCGTGTGAGCGGAACCTACATCCTTGTCGACCTGATCATCATGTCTCAAGCCTAACTGGGTGGATTCTAGCGAGGTCTAGCTCACCCTAGAACTTACATGGCAGGTAATCTAGGACACATGACTATCTGGCAGCGGCACGAATGAAACGGAAGAGGCGTGGATATTAAGGAGCATTAATTGTGGAGTTATGAGATACGTTAGAAGAGTATCTCATGATTAGACCTATTAAATGTACCGATTATGTCTCCTAGTGCTACGCTAGCTTGATGTCGATAAATACTTTATGTAATTACCTTAAAAGAGACCCGTCTCTAAAATAATAATACTGCTTTACGCTATCAAAATACTTTATTCTCATGATTTAACAATTGTTGTTGGAATAAACTCCATCATACCCGATTGAGTATTGTTGAGGTTTATTCCGTCAACCCCATAGGCCCAACACACGACCCAAGGGTTTCGAATGGAAGAAATAAAGAAGTAGATGTAGAAACAAGCAAGAAAAGCCCAGTAAGAAGTCTTAATACAACAATCTCGATACAAAGGCGTGAGACCAATCGTCCCCTCGCTATGCTACGAGCTGATACAATGCTATGCTATTAGAGTGCTTAGTTGCCAACCCTTTGCAATAAAATAAATGCTTCTATTTATACTACCAATGGGTAGTTGGATGCATTGACGTGGCGGGCTATGGATGGCTTGATCCCAACCACCAAATCTTCTGCATTAAATGCGCTTCCCGCCAGGATCTTGGCTTCCCGCCAAGGGGTGGGGACGTTCGTGCCCATGAGCTTACCTCCTGTTTCCTGGTGGGGCATTGGCTTCCCGCCAAGCGGTGGGGACGTTCGTCCCCATGAGCTTGCCTCCTGTTTCCTGCTGGGACATTGGCTTCCCGCCAAGTGGTGGGGACGTTCGTCCCCATGAGCTTTCATCCTGTTTCCTGCTGGGATCTTGGCTTCCCGTTAAGGGTGGGGACGTTCGTCCCCTCGATCTTTCTTTCTGCTTTCTGCTGGGTCCGAAGTCCTGCAGACGAGCGCCTCGTACCGCTTCTGGGCCAAGGTACATGCAACGCTAGGATACGTACGTCCCTTGGGCCTTGGTGTTGAGGCTTAGCCCCGTAGGGGACGAACCTCGCCAGGATAAGCGGAAGGGTAACCCGTTGTCTTGGGCCTTTGGGGGACGTTCGTAGGGCGGGCCTTGAGGGTTTCATGGGCCAACCCCCGTTGGGCCATTAACCCAACACAAGTTTCCCACTTCTGATGTTCCGAGCGTGCGCGGGACATAAGGAAGTAGAATTGAATCTGACATACGTCGCCAACAAATACCCTTGGCGCCTCCCAGGTTGATGACCCACTCTGTATCCCCTGACAGTTGTCCTTGGTATGCAGCTATCTGTCCCCCTGGTCTGGTATCCTGTGACAGGACGTCCCCTCTGGGGACGAACTTCCTTTCTTCCTTGGAGTCGTCTTCAGGATATTCCACCAGAGGGCATGGGCTCAGGGAACGAACATCTGGTGGGCTTTAATGGGTCGATTGACCGATCCCTGTTGGGCCATCAACCCAACACAAAGTTCCCACTTCTGATGTTCCGAGCGTGCGCGGGACATGAAGAAGTAAAATGGTTGCTTGCTGACACGATGGTTGCTTGCTGTGTTCCGGATCTCCGAACGTCTTGCCTTATTCACTAGATCTCCGTACCCGACCGTCTATGTGAACGGGTCTTGGCAGCCCGTTGGGGACGTACGTCTTCCCGTCTAGAGGAAGGGTCTTCTCTGTTGTTTGTCTCTGGGGACACCCTTGTTCTTTGTTCCATCATCCGCTTGCTGTACCTGGTCTTTAGCTTAAGCCCTTGGAGCCGAACTGAGCTAGGCCTACGTGGTGGTGAGGAACGGGTTTATCCACATAGGGATTCCCCAGTTCTTTGTTCCATCGTCCGCTCGCCGTACCTGCTCTTTAGATTAGGCCCTTGGAGCTGAGCTGAGCTAGGCCTACGCGGTGGTGACGAATGAGTTTATCCACTTGGGGATTCCCCAGTTCTCTGTTACGTCGTCCGCTCGCCATACCTGCTCTTTAGCTTAGGCCCTTGGAGCCGAGCTGAGCTAGGCCTACGTGGTGGTGAGGAACTGGTTTATCCACTTGGGGATTCCCCAGTTCTTTGTTCCGTCATCCGCTCGTTGTACCTGCTCTTTAGCTTAAGCCCTTGGAGCCAAGCTGAGCTAGGCCTACGTGGTCGTGAGGAACGGGTTTATCCGCTTGGGGATTCCCCAGTTCTTTATTCCGTCATCCGCTCACCGTACCTGCTCTTTAGCTTAGGCCCTCGGAGCCGAGCTGAGCTAGGCATACATGGTGGTGAGGAACGAGTTTATCGTTTTGGGGTTCCCTGGTCGTACGTTCGTCCACCTCCCCACTGCACCGGCAGCTTAAGCCCCGAGGCCGTACTGCACTGGTTAATGTTCTTTGATGGAGAACAGGTTTATCCTCTTTGGGATTCCCTGGTCGTACGTTCGTCCACCTTCCCACCGCACCAACAGCTTAAGCCCTGAGGCTGTACCGCACTGGTTAATGTTCTTTGATGGAGAACATGTTTATCCTCTTTGGGATTACCTGGTCTTCGTTCGTCCACCTTCTTACCGCACTGGTAGCTTAATCCCTGAGGCCGTACTGCGCTAGTTAGTGTTCTTTGATGGAGAACAGGTTTATCCTCTTTGGGATTCCCTGGTCGTTCGTTCATCCACCTTCCCACCGCACCGACAGCTTAAGCCCTTAGGCCGTACCGTACTGGTTAGTGTTCTTTGATGGAGAACATGTTTATCCTATTTGGGATTCCCTAGTTGTACGTTCGTCCACCTTCCCACCGCACCGGCAGCTTAAGCCCTGAGCCCGTACTGCGCTAGTTAGTGTTCTTTGATGGAGAACAAGTTTATCCTCTTTGGGATTCCCTGGTCGTACGTTCATCCACCTTCCCACCAAAACGACAGCTTAAGCCCTGAGCTCGTACCGCACTGGTTAGTGTTCTTTGATGGAGAACAGGTTTATCCTGTTTGGGATTCCCTGGTCTTCGTCCATCCACATTCCCACCGCACCGGTAGCTTAAGCCATGCGGTCGTACTGCGCTAGTTAGTGTTCTTTGATGGAGAACAGGTTTATCCTCTTTGGGATTCCCTGGTCGTACGTTCGTCCATCTTCCCACCGCACCGGCAGCTTAAGCCCTGAGGCTGTATCACACTAGTTAGTGTTCTTTGATGGAGAACAGGTTTATCCTCTTTGGGATTCCCTGACCTTGGGAGTTATGTCTCTCTCTTCGCCCATTTTTTGGGAGTAAGGAATTTAGCAAAATGGTGTCAGTGATAGGATTTCTTCAGGTGCTCTACGTTCCACATGCCACCAACATGTCCGTCCATGTTGTGGAGGAAGAACGTCCGACGGGCGTATACACTGTACCCCCGAAGATCACTTGATCTCCAATTTGTTCTTATGGTCGTTTGACCCGAGGGATCCCTCCGGGCATTTAACGGCATGGCGATAATCGGTGTCTTTGGCCTCTGCCTCCCGCCGGTCATCCCTGCGTCTTGTGAGTGGTTTCTTGTTTGGCTATTTCTGGTTCTGAGGGGTGTGTCCCCTCGTGAACTCTCCGAGGTAGCCCCTCTGGATAAGTTCGTCAATGGCCATCCTCAGACCGTTGCAGTGATCCGTGTTGTGGCCTTCCTTGCGATGGTACTCGCAGTAGGCGTTGAGGTTCTTTCCCATTGGGCCACTGTCGATTGGCGGCTCTTCGAGCATCCCTTTATCCTTGATGGCATCAGAGATTTGGCTCACCGTGAATGCCAAGGAGGTAAGTCCGGTAAACTCCCGTCGGGCGTAGTCTGGAGGACCCTGGGTTCCTCAAGGGGCGTAGCCACCGCTCATCTTATTCTTTTTTGTTTCGGGTGGTCTGATGGCCTTGGTCCCAAACGGTCCGACATTTTGTGTC